AGTTCTCTGAATCCACCCCTTTCTCCACCAATTTAGACATCATGTCTTCTAGAAAATCTTCCAAGCCACTCTTCGTGGATCTCTGACTCAGGAGCTCCTCCTGCGTGGCTCCGGGCCTCCGGGCACTGTGCTGCTGTGACCTACTTAGACCCAGGCACTCGAAGGCCCGGGAGACAGGCACCGGTCTTGTTCGTCATGGTAGCCACAGGGCCTAGCTGAGTTCTAGACACACACTGTATATGAGCACTTTACCATAGTTTTCTAAAATATATTCTACAGAACAATGGTAGTGCTTGGGAGGAAAAGAAAATGTTTCCTGACCATCTAAGCACATACAAGGCTTGTGACTCTGTGGAGGGGAGAAACTTTCCACTGTTCCCCTAAGTGTATCTGAACAAGGGTCATCTCTGAGGGCACCACACACGTTTCCACAGGATGCATTCTGAAAGATTCTCTTTCAAGAGATTTCCACCACTTACCTACTAAGAATATTTCCTTCCCTAAATCTTATATCTTAATGTAAGATTTTTATCTTCATCTTTAAGAGTTTTAATTTATTTTTTTAAATGTCTTTGAGATGTTTAACTTAACTTAAAAGATAGAAATCTGAACTAGCCAATTTTGCTCAGTGGTTAGAGCGCCCGCCAGTGGACTGAAGGGTTGAGGGTTTGATTCTGACCAAGAGCACATACCTCTGTTACAGGCTCCATCCCTGGCGGGGTCAGGGCATGTGCGGGAGGCAACCAATCGATGTGTCTCTCTCACATTGAGGTTGCGCTCTCTCTCCCCCTCCCTTCCACTCTTCTAAAAAAATCAATGGAAAAAATATCCTCTTATGAGGATTAACAGCAACAACAACCAAAAGGTGGCTATTGTTTAAAAACAAAATAAATAAATAAATAAATAAATAAATAAATAAATAAATAAATATTTAAGATTTTATCTTAATTTAAGGTAAAGATTTAGGGTAGGGCACAAATCAGTTTTGGTGTTTTTGTTTTTGGTTTTTTCAGGAAAATAAGGTAACACCCAGGATAACTAATTCCCCTCAAATGCTAGGAGGTAACGGATGTCAATAAAATAAACTAATCCAGGAAGTTGAGAATCAGAAGTCTGTCAGCAGGAGACCAAGAATCCTGAGTAACAGAGGTTGGCAGATGCAAAATCTCATTTGGTAGGGTAAAATTTCCCAACTTCTGTCTGTGGCTGCGACACTTGATATTTAAAGTTCCAGTACTGTTGTTTACAGACTAACTATACTTTTAATGCAGTTCAGAAAGGAAACGGGAACATAGCCACTACACAACACCTTTCTCTAAGTCATGAGGAGCAAGCTCCTGAACAGATTTCCATTTTCACTGGATTTTGGTTATTAAGATGTTTCTTCTGTATTTAATTTCCTCTGCTATTGTAAGATGAGAAGAAATATATTCTAGCCATAAGGAAGAGACCTTGAAATGACCCAAAAGGCAATTATAAAAGAGGGTGTGAACAAAAGAAAAACATTGAGTGATTGTACTATAAAGAAGAGCATTCGAGACCTTCTCCACCTCCCGTAGCCAACTGACAAAGACTCTCCTTGACCAAACTTGAGTCAGGCTCTTTCTGACTCGAGTCCCCTTTCTGACTAAGTCCCCTTTCTGGACTTTGTCTTTGGCCCACCTAGTCCACTTGTAACAAAAATCCTGCTGAGTCTGCTTAGAAAAAATCCCCCACCCTTAGTGTCTGACCACACTGGCCTGCCCTCAGCAAGAATCCTGCTGCGTTGGCCTAGAATCCCTCTAGCCTCAGTGTTTGCTCTTAGTCATTTTCCGCTCATTGACCCCACCCCCACCCTGTTCCTTGGCTATAAATCTCCACTTGTCCCTGCATTCAAGTCAAGCCCAATCTTTCTTTCCCCATTGCAGTAGTGCCTCTTGAATAAAGTCTCCTGTGTCATGTGTCAAGACAAATTATTTTTTTAATCCTCACTTGAGGATATTGTTTCCATTGCTTTTCAGAGAGAGTGGAAGGGAGAGAGAGAAACATTGATGTGAGAGAGACACATTGATTGGTTGCCTCCTGAACACACCCCAAATGGGGCCGGGAATCAAGCCTGCAACCAAGGTATGTGCCCTAGGTACATGCCATTGACCAGAACTGAACCCGAGACCTTTCAGTCACAGGCTGATGCTAAACCAGCTAGTGCAATAAATTTTTTTTGAACAAAACTCTGCTCCCCGCCCTACACACACACACACACACAAATCATCTGTAGGTCAAAGAACAAAACTGACAAAACACTGGAATCCCAGTAATGCTTAGAAACTTCTGGTGGCCTAGACCTTAGAGTTTTCCCTTTAGTTAAACTTAAAGAACAAACTCTGATGTTCAGAAGACCCAACAGAGAAGGACCTCAAAGGGCTCCCTCAGGGTAAATGGCTCCTAGTCCTTCATCTAGCCACCTTGTTTATTGCACTCAGTATTTGTTGAGCCCAAATACCAGCCAGCAAGATGCAATTTCTATCTGAAATGTCTCTGCTGTAAGAGTTGCTTCTCAAGAATGTCGTTTCCCGGAGAAACTGAAGAGGCGAACCTGCCCTGTTAGTGCAGCTGGTAGTGTGTTAGTCATAACCCGAATGGATCCAGAAGAATGATTGGTCATGAAGAGAAAAGCACAAAGGTAGCAAGAAAATGCTATATGCACGATCTTTATTGATCCAGTTCATCTGAACATATCATTCAAGAAAGCATCAGTACATACTGACGTGGAAAGATCTCCAGGGAGCTCTTTTCAAAGGAATCACATTGCGAAACAATGTATACAGCATGATTCCCTTTATGTAAAAACAAATGCACAAATCGAACAACAAACACATATGTACATAATAACATACCAAAATCATATGCTCCCAACCCAACAGCGTGATTACCTCTGGATTGGAGGGGGGTGAGGATGGGGCGCAGAAAGGGAACTTTCTGTTTGCATAAAAGAGAAGCAAAGTGAACCCCCAACCTGACAGTGAAGAGAAAGCCCAAAGTAACAGCCACACATCAAACATCAAGAGCAACCAGTCTGGAGCCAAAGCAGGCCAGCAAGCTGTGTTCAAGAAGATGAAATGGATTCACTAGCTGTTGCACAGGCACATCTTGAGGGAAGATTTAGACAACTAGCAAAGAACTTGCAGTTAAACAGCTTCTGCTGTTTTTAGTAATAAACCTGATGAAACTATTCGACCCTGAACTGTTGCCAGGATGAAGTTACAACAATCACAAACTCTTGCAACCTGCTCAATATGTTAGGCATTATTCTAAGTGCACTACATATATAGCATCTCATTTAATCTTCGAAGTATAACTATTATCCCATTTTCCAGATGAGGAAGCCAAAGCACAGACGTTAAGTGACTTGCCCAAGAGCATAGCTGGTGGTGGAACTGGGCAACTAATTCAGGTGATGTGGCTCCAAAGAAAATGCTCTTAACAACCAGACTATGCAGAAAGGAACTCAAGTTTGCTAGGCATCTTGTACTAGGCGTCAGTGTACTCAATAAACAGTACTTACGCATATTGTGTGCCACTCCAGACAAAAGGGATTAACTAATAGCTAGGCTGAGGTTTGGCCGCGTTATCGGAGACCAAGGCATGACCAGGGTACCCTCTCCACCGCTCTCCCTAACACCCCAAGCTCACCTCTCTCCCAAGCGTCCCCAGCGGCCCGGGGTCGCCCTCCCTTTCTGAGGTCCCACAACTAACTGTTGCGCTGGGCGCCAGCTGTGGAAACAACCCGGCGCGCTGAACTGGGCGCAGGAAGTGGGGTG